TGAACACCGAGGTGCTCCAGCCCCACACCATGCTGCTGACTCCATACCTCACCCCCTGAACACCAACATTACACTAGAACCCTGTCTTGTTGGCTCCCGCCATTAGTGAATCTCAGGGTCAATCCCACATAACACCTGCTCAACAACCCTTCCCTGATGATGTCACTCGCCGCCTTGATAGCTTAGAAAAGCTAGTAGCTGAACACCGAGGTGCTCCAGCCCCACACCATGCTGCTGACTCCATACCTCACCCCCTGAACACCAACATTACACTAGAACCCTGTCTTGTTGGCTTCAAAATACCACAGCTGGAGACTTATGACGGAACAAAGGATCCTAATGATCATCTGCATGCTTTCTACTCTTGCATGCAAGCTCAGAACGCCTTTGACACGTTGATGTGCAAAATCTTCCCCTCTACTCTCCGAGGTAATGCCCGAACTTGGTATTACAGTTTACCTCCGAGGTCAATCAACTCTTATACAGAAATGACATCTGCCTTTGCCACTAAGTTTTACAGTAGAAGATTGATTAGGAAAACTACTTCTGAGTTGATGCGAGTTAAATAGAGGGATGGAGAATCTCTGAAAAACTATATGAGCAGGTTCAATGATGCAGTATTGGAGGTTAGTTCCTTTTATCAAGCTGTGGGAATTGCAGCTGTGATCTCCGGTCTTAAACATGACAGGTTCAGAAACAGTTTGATCAAACATGCTGCCACCACCTTTAGCGATGTGAACGATAGGTCTCTGAAATTTATAACCGTTGAGGAGTATGCCCTGGCGCAGAATTCGACTCCTTCTAAGAACCAGAACCCAGAATGGAGAGATGACAATCCGAGTCGGAAAAGGATGAGGATGGCGCAGAACCGAGGTCCGATGTTGACCTCCCCACCAAGATTCGGAAGGCTGAACTCAACACCCCCACAACAATCTGCAAGTAAACCTCCAGTTAATTGGACTCCCTTTAATCTGCCAAGGTCACAAATTTTTATGCAGATCAAGAATAAGATGGATTTAAGGCATCTTGGCCCAATGAAAACTGCTGCTGCTAGCCGAGATCATACTAGATATTGTGATTTTCATCAAGATCATGGCCATACTACAGAGCAGTGTAACAGCTTAAAGTCCGAACTGGAAAGTCTAGCTCAGAAGGGAATGCTGAATGAGTATGTTCAGAGAGCTGCACAGCCACGATTTGTTAGAGAACAAGGGCCACAGCCTCAAGGAGCCCGTAACCCACCCGTAACCCACCAAACAGGCAAGGTGTGGGATATCAGCAAAACCCACCTCCGCTCCCACCACCAGCTAGAATCATACACATGATCATGGGAGGTCTGGAAGCAGGTGGACTGAGCTCTAAACAGCGAAAGCTATATGTTAGAGAGGTTAAGCATCAGAACCGAGCTCATAAACGAAAGTTTGATGATGTTGAATGGAAGAATCAACCCATTACTTTCACATCTGCTGATCTTGATACAGTTGTTACACCCCATAATGATCCCTTGGTCACTTCTGTCATGATTAATAACTGTGAAGTACAGCGTGTCCTTGTTGACACCGGGAGTGCACCAGACATTATGTACTTCCACTGTTTCGAGAGTCTTGGACTAGATCCAACGTTGTTGCAGAAATATGATGGTCCTATTTATGGTTTCAACAACCAACATGTTCCGGTAGAAGGAGTTCTTACCCTCCATGTGGCTTTTGGGAGTGGCCGGACCTATATAACCCCTTTAGTCCGGTTCCTCGTCGTCAAGATGGCGTCCTCTTTCAACATTGTTATTGGCTGACCCACATTAACTAAAATCCGAGCTGTGGTTTCCCAATCTCACCTCTGCATGAAGTTCCCAACTCCTATGAGAATAGAAACACTGCAAGGAAACCAAGAGGTGGCCAGACATTGTTATCTCACCGCGGTAACACAACCAACGAAGGGCAAAAATCAAACACCCGAGGCCATTCCCAGCGAATTCTTGATAATCAGCAAGTTATGGGTGTAGAGATTGTAGATAATCGACCGGAAGATGAAATCAGGGCTGCTCCGGTTGAATATGTTGAAGAAGTGCTCATTGATGACAGAGATCCGAGTCGAAAGATGCAGATCGAAACTAGATTGAACCCGGAGGAAAGAGCAGAGCTAATAGCTTTCCTCCGAGCTAACAATGATGTGTTCGCATGGACTTCGGCAGATATGCCAGGAATTCCAAACTCAGTATCCCAACACAAGCTTAACACCAATCCATTGAAGAAACCAGTGGCCCAGAAGCGGCGTCTCTTCGGGGGGGAGAGGCTTCAGGCTATTAAAGAAGAGGTTGAGAAACTTCTACAAGCTGGTTTCGTCAGGAAAGTTGATTACGGCGAATGGGTGGCTAACCCAGTCCTGGTGAAGAAGGCAAACGGTAAATGGCAAATGTGCATTGATTACACAAATCTTAACCAAGCCTGCCCCAAGGATTGCTATCCGATGTCGAGCATCGACAAGTTAGTTGAAGCAGCTTCAGGCAATGAGAGGTTAAGCCTCTTGGATGCATATTCTGGGTATCACCAGGTGCCGATGGCTCCCGAAGACGAAGAGAAAACCTCGTTCTATGCTGGTGATGAAATTTATTGCTATGTCATGATGCCGTTTGGCTTGAAGAACACAAATGCTACTTATCAGAAAATGGTGACCATCGTCTTCCGAGCTCAGATCGGCAAGAATCTGGAGGTGTATGTCGATGACATTGTAGTAAAGAGCCTGAAAGCAGAAGACCATCTAGCTGATCTCGACGAAACCTTTAACAACCTCAGAAAGAACAGGATGCGGTTGAACCCAGCCAAATGTATTTTCAGCGTGGAGTTTGGAAAGTTTCTTGGTTTCATGGTGTCCCGAAGAGGGATTGAGGTCAATCCAGAGAAGATCAGAGCAATTGCCAAGATGGAACCGCCGAAATCAGTGAAAGATATATCAAGCTGCATTCGATGAGCTGAAGTCTTATCTTAGCTCGCCACCTCTACTAAGTAAGGCTATAGATGGAGAGATTCTTTATTTGTATCTCGGAATTTCAGATGAAGCCATTAGTTCAGTTCTGGTAAGAGAAGAAACCAAGCAGTAGAAACCAATCTATTATATCAGCAGTGTACTGCACGGGGCAGAGCTGAGGTATCCTATAGCTGAGAAAGCAGCATTAGCTGTTGTCACTTCGGCCAGGAAGTTGAGGCTCTATTTCCAGTCACACCCAATTATCGTTCTCACAGATCAACCTCTCCGGCAGATTCTGCAGAAACCAGAGTGCTCTAGAAGATTAATTAAGTGGGCAGTAGAACTAAGGGAGTTTGAGATAACGTTTCAGCAGAGATCGGCAATCCGAGCTCAAGCACTAGCAGATTTCATTGTCGAATGCACCCCATGTCCTTCATCCTCTAATCCAGAGCCCAACGACTAGACCTTATATGTTGACGGGGCATCTAGTAGCAAAGGTTCAGGAGCGGGCGCTCTCTTGATTGGTTCAGAGGGTTATCGAAGCGAACATGCTTTGAAATTCAACTTCGATGCAACAAATAACATGGCTGAATATGAAGCTCTGCTACTTGGCCTACAGTTAGCATTGGAGTTAAAAATAAGTGCAATTCAAGTATACAGTGACTCCCAATTGGTAGTAAACCAAATCAACTCAATCTGCGAAGTCGTTGATCTTGTGATGGTTAAATATGCAGCCTTGGTGGCCGAGCTGAAATGCAAATTTCAGAAATTCTGTCTGAGCAAAATTCCCTGGGCTGAGAATGAACAAGCAGATTCTCTTTCCAAGTTTGCCTCGGATAGCTCTTTAAGTTCCAGATCCGTTTTTGTAGAGGTCTTAGATGAACCAAGCTTCATGAAGCCTCGGGTGATGGAGATTAGCACAAACCCTGACACGCCGAGCTGGACTGATTCAATCATTTCCTTTTTACGAGATGGAATAGTACCTGAGGATAGGCAGGAGGCAATGAAGTTGAGGAAGAAAGCATCTCGGTATACAATCATTGATGGGGTCTTGTATAAGAGATCTTTCTCACTTCCTCTTCTACGGTGTTTAAACCCCTATGAAGCTGAATATGCACTTCGAGAGGTGCATGAAGGTGTCTGTGGGAGCCATGTTGGTGCTAGGACTCTAGCTCACAAAGTCTTAAGGCAAGGATATTACTGGCCAAACATGCATAAAGATGCCACTTACTTTGTTCAGAAATGCCCGAAATGTCAATTCTTTGCACATCTGACTCATCAACCAGCAGAGGAGCTCACAAACTTGGTAGCACCATGGCCATTTGCTCAGTGGGGGCTAGATCTTTTAGGCCCGTTCGTGAAAGGGGTTGGTGGTGTAACCCATCTGATTGTTGGTGTAGATTATTTCACAAAGTGAGTTGAAGCTCGGCCATTATCTAGTCTTACCTCCAAGAAGGTCGAAGACTTTGTTTTCAGCTCGATCATCTGCAGATATGGGATCCCGAATCAACTTGTGGCTGATAATGGAACCCAATTCAATTGCTCCTCGTTCTGAGATTTCTGTTCCAGTTATGGGATCAAGTTACAGTTCACCTTTGTTTACCATCCGGAGTCCAATGGCATGGTTGAATCTGTTAACAAATGCATTTTAGAAGGTATAAAGCCGAGATTGGAACAACATAAGGCCAAATGGGCAGATGAGCTCAACAACGTCCTCTGGGCATACAGAACCACGAGCCAAACTGCCACAGGTATCACTTTAAATCGAGTCTATTTGATTAATTTATATATTATTCTACTTCTTCTGTTACGCTTTACCTTAGAGCAAATATGCATAACGCATAAAGCGCATTCTAAAGTTATAATTAACTGAAATAGGTGAAACACCTTACCACTTGGCCTTTGGTACCGAAGCAGTCATTCTTGTTGAAATAAGAGTCCCAAGCTTCCGGGTCACCCATTTCAATGAAGAGTGAAATGGACAACTGCTTCAGGAAAACCTTGATCTGCTTGAGGAAAACCTTGATCTGCTTGCTGAAGTCAGAGAAGAAGCTCGGCTTCGAACTCTTGTATACAAGCAGAAACTAGCCAACTTCTACAATAAACGGGTCCGCCCTTGAACATTCAAAGTAGGAGACCTTGTTCTTAGAAAAGCTGGCCTAACGGGGTTTGAAACTCGTTTTGGCAAACTCGCCCCGAATTGGGAAGGCCCTTATACCATGACCAAGGTGCCACATCCTGGTGCCTATGTCCTCCAAGACACTGAAGGAAAGAGAGTTCCTAGAGTCTGGAATGTCAATAACTTGAAGAAATTTTACCCCTAATAAAATTCTTTCAAGTGATCTATGTCTTACTGTTCTTTACACTTCTCACTTCGTGTTTGTTGAGATTCATTTTACCTCTTATTCTATGTATCCAAGGTCAATTAGCCTTGGAACCTCATTTCTGCTTAGTAAATGTCACTTCACATGTGTAGTGCTTTATTTCCTTTTAATTCATTTGCAACGATGTCCTTGTTCTTAATTTATCTGAAGTGATTTACTTTTTCTTAATTCGTCTAAAGTGACTTACTTTCCTTTTGTTTATTTCTGAAGAGGTTAGCCTTCTTTCAAATCACGTCTCAAGTACTCTCAGTTCTTTTATTCATAAAAAATAACAAAAATATAAACCAAACATAAACAAATATATAATTTCATTTAACGAAGTAACAGTATTACAAACTGTTTAAATGTCTTTACAAAAAATTAATAAATAAAATTATTTCTCTGCTAGGAAAGGTGGCTCCACTAGCTCCTGCTCAGCTGGAGGAGGTGGCTGTGTTGGCTGCTGCTCGTCTGGCAGAGGAGGTTGCTCATCGTCGGAAGGAACTGGATGAACCTCCACTTCTGGAATTGGTTGCCTCTCATCCACTTCAGTTCCCTCTACTCCTACCTCTACCTCGTCTTCCTCTACCTTTGCCCCTTCTTCCTCCACTGCAACGAACTCGAAGTCGAATTGTGGAGGGAAAACAACAAGACAGTCTGCGTCATGCTCCCACCTCAGCTTGATTTGAGGACGGAAGTCTGCTGACATGCTCTCGCCATCCTCCTCTACTCCTCCTTCTTGCTCGCCGAAGGTGATCTTTGTTACATTCACTTCAGGATATACAGCCTTCACCTTCTTTCTGCAGTTTGTGAAAGCAATGATGGCAGTGGGCAGCCGGTACAGGTTGACAATGTTGTCAAACGAGCTAGAGCTGATGAAGTTGCTGATGTGCTCCTTCATTCCGTTGTGCACCAAGGTTTGCACATTCTCCTTCAGCTCCACGAAAGCCTCCTTCATCAGCTTTATTTCTTGCGCCTGAGCCTCACGCTCACTTTCAGAGATCCTACGTTTGCTCTCCTTAAAGACGAGCTTGGTGCTCAGGGAAGCCCTTTCTTGCTCCAACTGTTTCACAGTGGGAACCACCTCGTTCAGCGACTCTTGCAGTTCTTTATTTTTCTTTTCCAGCTCCTCCTTCTCCTTCTGCAGCTGGTCACACTGCCTCTGCAAGAGTGAGCGCTCCCTCAGGCTCTCCATGAACTCCTGGGCTAGACCATTCACCCAGCTCGCGCTCTACAAACCAAAGCAGAAGTTAAGAGAGAAAGAAGAGAAGCAAAAACAAGTTAACTAAACAACATCAATAATTTAACATACCTCTAGAACGTGCTTCACAACAGACGCTCCACCATACCTCAGAGCTTCATCCTGCGCGTTGCGTCTGTCCACTTCAGGGAAGGTGCTGTTGATGAACCACCTAGCCCCCATCATATTCTTTGCCTCGAATAGGCTGCTTTGAGGTCCCAACGGGGGAACAGGGCCCTTTCCCTTACCAGGAGCTCGTACCTCAGCCCCCCCTCCAACACTCTGAGCTCAGGGTTCAGCTCAACAGGAGGAGGCTGAGGTACAAACTGAGGTACCTCATTCCCCCTTTTCTCCTCCTCCACCACTTTCTGCTTCTTCTGCAGTGCCCTCCTCTCCCCCCAACCTTTCCTCTTCAACTGTGGCACCTCCTCCTCCGTCTCAGCTGAAGTCATGGGCACTACCTTCTTCCTAGCCCTCCTCTCATCCACTTGCTTGGTTGAAGTCGTTGACTTCTTCCTTGGCTTCTTGGGGATAGCCACTCCTCCAGCAGTGTTAAAAAATTGATCCATTTCAGCTGCAAAGCAAGAACACAATATTAATCACAGTTCTATACTCTACATTCAGTACTACAATGCAGAACTAACCAACCTTCACTTAAAGCGCTTGGCCCATAGAGTTCAGCAGCTTCTATGCATTGTGTGCTGGTGAGGTCCATAATATTTAGTAAATCCCCCCCTTCCTCACCAACTTCCTCACTTCTTCCTCCTCATCCTCATTCAAACTAAACCTATTCCGGTTGGCCCTTTTAGCCTTCCACGAGGCTAACTCCCTCACCTCGGCATCCCCCCTCCCCCACTCTGTATCATTTGCAAAAAAGAATTTTTCCTTCCATCCTTTAATGGATGAAGGACCTGCAGTGAACAATGCCCTACTTTCCTTATTGGCTACCCTAGGGGTGAAATAATACCACCCCTTATCCCTCCTACTACCCCCCTTTAAAACAAAAAAATACTTAAACATATTTACAGTTGGCACAGTAATCCCCTAAGCTCGGCAATAGACTAAAAATCCTATTATTACCCTCATAGCGTTGGGGACTAATTGTGTCAACCCTATATTATAATCTAACAACAAACCTACTAGCAACTCAGGAATTAGAAACCTTAATTCTGCTATCAGATAGTGGGAATATATGGGCATCCAATGGTCCCGAGGAACAGAACACGCTCTTTCCTCTACCCCAACTGGCCTAACTAGCACTCGAGAAGAGATCTCATAATTTTTCACTAAGTGACCCAGGCTATCCCTAGTCCTTAGTTCAGAACTATACTGCTTCACCTCCTCCACTATCTCTGCATTCACATCATAATCACTCTCTCCTCTATCCTCTACTTCTATTACGGTGATGGGTATGCTATCTACCCCAACCCCTACCACCTCATTCCTCCCAACCTCTACCACCTTTTGCCTCCCAACCTCCACCACCTCATCTCCTCTCACCCCTTCCACCGTTTTCTCCGAACTAGATGGAGATGGACTACTCTCTGAGTCCATGCTCCCATAGTCCAAGGGCATCACTTCACTCCCTACTATACTTTGTGTTCCTTTTGACAACATTTTCTCAAACTCTGCACGAAGTCGGGGGGAGGAATAAGTCAGGATCCCTTTAAAAACAAAGAAAAAAAAAAAAAAACAAAACCCCCTTTTTGTTGCACAGTCAAAATCCTCCTCACCTCTAACCCTAACTTCCTTCAAAGGACTCTAAATCAATCACAGAAGGGGAGAAAGGAGAGAGATACTTCGATTAACTCAAAATCAGAGGTTCGTCATACATTACCTAATTTCAGTTTTGAAAGACTTTATGTAGAGATTCCCAGCTGATGCCGCAGTTCACGCGCAGGAAATGCACAGTAAAGCTTTTCGCAGAAGTTTTGCAGGAAGAGAGATGCAAGTAAACCTCTCTCTGCAGAAAAAAATGCTTATTTATACCTCTGGGCAAAACTAGATCTCAATGGCTGAGATTCATTTAATCTTACGGTTACTATTAACACTGTTTGGAATTCAACGGCCAACCCCAAACGGCACCGTTTTGAATTTGATGGTTCGTTTTTTAAAATTTGCCTGTTTAACTGTTGCAGTTATCTTTTTACGGCTGCATTTATTGCACACGTCATCCCAAGGACAACTGTCAGACTTTTCAAACGGGCCCAATTACGCCCATTTCAACACCTTCGTTCACTTTTGCATATTCTCAATTTTGCAAGTGTTTCACCTCGGCTCCGACCACAATAATCATGCATTACATTTCACATTGGCTTCGGCCACAATGATCCAATATCACACATTTTATTTCGGCTACGGCCATTATGACTCCGGTCATCATATTTTATTATGGCTCCGGCCATTTTGACTCTCGCCTTTATACTTAAGCCTAGCTCAGCACTTCTGTTTACTTTTACAATTACACTTTTTAACTGGCATAGTGTTTTACTTCGGCTCCAGCCACAGAAACATGTTTTACTTCAGTCCTGGTTACTGTGATTACATGTCACGTACTCTACCTCGGCTCCGGCCATTATGACTCCGGTCATCATTTTTCATCACGGCCCTGGCCTCTATGACTCCAGTCATCATTTTTTATCATGACCTTGGTTACATTATGACTTCGATGATCACTTTTTACTATGGCTACGGCCACGCTAACTCCGGTCATTATTTTTACCACGGCCACGGCCATGATCACTCCGATCATACTCTATTTAAGGCACCCCAGTATGACCCATTGTTACATATTTCACTATTAGCTACGGCTATGTCTAAATTTACGTTAAAGCTTTCTTCCTTATACTTCTATGACTTATCCGTATTCTCTTTGTTCATACACTCCCCTCATTATCCCCAACAACATCATTCACAAGT